TGCAACTGGTGCAAGCCGGCTGAGCTACCGGTAACGGATGGGCATCGTTCCGGTAAGCTACCAGCCGGCTACTGTGCATCAAAAAATTACTATGCAAAATTATATAAGGCTAAATAATGAGATCGTGGTTGGAGGGGGAGGCTAAGAGGGATGGGGTGGGACAAAGAAACTCACAGCACGAACGCCACTGAGGTCGGCTCCTAGCCATATCAGCAAGTGTGTCCAACCAAACGTGTTCATCGTCTTTCGGACCCCAACCAGGGAGCCGAGACGCTCCAACCGAGGCCAGCTCAGAAGTGAGGGCCTTCATTCCTCTCGACCAAGTCATCGCTTGGCCACCCCTCCTCTTCTTCCATCCACACCCCCGGCGCGCAAACAACGCACGTCGCGGGAGTCGGTGGGCTGGCATGCGTAACACGTGGCCGAGCCATCGGAGCCTGGTGCGTGAAATAACGGTGCTGAGCGGTTCATTTCCTTTTCCTGTGCCATAAACAAGGCGTCGAACACGCTCGTTGCTCACGTGGTGTTCCCACCAGATGTGAGCTAAATTACGAAGGCACCGGTGGTCGAACGTAACTAGCCTCTTCAGGTCCGCTGCTTTAAGCGGCCAGGTTTCACAACCGTACAGTAGGGTCGAACGTACTGCTGCATTGTACACTCTACCCTTCAGGGCAAGAGTGATGTCGCGCCGGCGCCATAAGTGGCGAAGGTTAGCAAAAGCACTTCGAGCTTTTGCTATACGGTTCGTGATCTCATCTTCAATCCCACGGGCGCTGATACAACTTCCCAGGTAGTTGAATTTTTGAACGACTTCTAGCTGATCCCCACCAACGGTCAGCGTAGGGGGCGGTCCAGACCAATCTTGGAGGAACGCTTTGCACTTCGAGGGTGCGAAGCAAAGCCCGAAGTGACGGACAGCTAGTGCCAATCTGTCCAGTGCCGCTTGGCACATTTGTGAGCTGTCACAGATTAGGGCAATATCATCAGCATACTCTAAGTCAAGAAGTCGTTCTCCTGGGAGTAGCTCCACACCTTCTAAGTCGTGTCCTGTGAACGCGATTTCCATGACTTCGTCAACAGCGAAGTTGAAGAGGAAAGGTGACAGCGGGCATCCTTGTCTCACGCCGCTGGAGATATTAAAGGGCGACGACAACTTGCCGTAAGCCCTCACTCTGCCCGAGCTACGCGCATATAATGCTCGGATAATATTCACATATTTCTCAGGTACACCTTTCCTGAGTAGACAGTCCCAAAGTGCATGTCTATCCACCGAATCGAATGCACCTTTGATATCGAGGAACACGACAATGGTGGGCCGCCAATATATGTGACGGTGCTCCAACAACTGACGCAAGGTGAAGATGTGGTCAATGCAGCCACGACCTCGACGAAATCCAGCTTGCTCTTCACGAATCTGGCTTTCACGAGTGCCAGTCAGTCTGTGAAGGATGACAGAGGCAAGCAATTTGGAGGCGATGGAGATCAGACTGATTCCTCTATGGCTGCCGCATTCCGATCGTGAGCCTCCCTTGAAAATTGGGACTATGACGGAGCGGCTCCAATCGGTTGGGACAGTTTCCTGCTCCCACAGTTTGACTAGTAACTCGTGTAAATCATCCACAAGAGCAGGTCCCCCGAATTTGAAGAGGGCTGGAGGAAGATCATCAGGTCCCGCGGCTTTATTTAACTTCAACAGTTCGATCTCACGTTCGACTTCTGAGCGAGAGGGTGGATCCAAAGGGACAGCCCAGGGAGCGGGGCGATCAGTGGCCGGCGAGAAATCTAACCATTCCGACCGATTAAATTGCTTTTCAAAGTGCTCAGCCCAACGCTCCAAGCGTTTTGATAAGTTGTGGATAGGCTGTCCACTCTCGTCACAAATTGTTTCACTAACACCAGGTCTCCTGCTGCCCGTTTCCCGTATCAACCGGAATAACTTACGATGGTTACCAAGGGCAGCGGCCATTTCCATCTCTGTTGCACGATTAGACCACCAGGATTCGCGGTCTCTCTTCAGGCTAGCACGGAGTTTTGCCCGGAGCTCTTTGCGAGTTTCATTGTGTTCGCTTCCAGCCGGAATATGCCGGCGAGCATCTATAAGTTCCAGAGACTGTGAAGAGACCCAATGTCCATGTTGACGATTAGAAATACCACATGAGGATTTTCCTGCTGCTAGTAAGGTCTGGTGAATATGAGACCAGTGAGCTTCAATTGCATCCAGTGAGCGTTTATCCAACTCGCATGACAGCGTACTTTGATACGCATTCAGAACAGCTGGCTTCGCCAGTTGGCTGGTGTCAATGCGCTCACAACGTCGTCGTGGGCGTCCGCCAAAGCGCATCCGCAGGTCAGCACATACAAGTGCATGGTCGGTGTCCACACCTGTGCTCCAAATCGAGCGACAGTTCTGGACGCAGCCTCTCCATCGGTAACTTATCGCAATGTGATCGATTTGCGTCCATAGCTGGTTCGAGGCTGGTGGGCGCCAAGTCATCCTTCGGCGGGTGCTGTGTCTGAAATTAGTGCTCGCAAGAAATAAGCGAGCATCCTCACACAAATGAAGTAACCGCTCACCGTTATCATTACGGGAGCCTATACCATGTTGGCCGCCCAGATGCAGCTCATCTGTGGATAATTTTCCAACTTGAGCATTCAGATCCCCAGCCAGCACTACAGTGTCCGAGCTTCTTCTGTGGCTAAGGAGCTCGTTCAGTTGACGATAGAAGTCGTCTTTTACCGAGTCATCGCTACAGTTTGTGGGTGCATAGGCAGCGATAACGAATAAACACCTGTTGGTCCCACGCGACTTCGAAGCTTTGAACGAGCCAGCCAATCGGACCGCACACATCCGGCTACTGATTGGAATCCAATCAACCAGAGCAGCTTCAGCCCGGGGACTCAGGGCAATACCAACACCGGCTTGGCCGGTGCTCGAAGCTGCATCGTCACCGGATAGGCGCAATGAGAAAGTGCTGCTAGTGTCATCTGAAGGGGATCGCAGAGTGAGTACAGAGCTCGAGTCTTGCAGGCGGGTCTCCGATAAGCAGCAGATATCGATCGAGAGGGTCTCTAATGTTCGGGCAAGTGCTGCCTGTTGACCGATCTGAAGCAATGTGCGAACATTGAGGCATGCCAATCTGAAGGAGGATCGAGGGCTCCAAATGGAAGCCGATGAACTGGGCTTGACCGCTTGGTTGGACATGGGCCTGTTGACAGGGCAGGAATGACGCTCCGCGTTCACATGTGAGTTGAAACTAAAAGACAAGCGACTATTGAAGCAAGGTGGGGGAGGGCCGAGAATTGGGGGTTGAAAACAGGGGGGATAAAAGTGAAGCTGGAACGGGACGATAAGGGTGAAAAAGCGTAAGAGGGGAAATAAGAAGACGGGAAGGCTTGAGCAGTAGCATCCAAACCCCTATCCACCCTGCTCGATGCAGCAGATAGGGCACCGTTGATTATCCTCTGCGGTGGCCAGAGCATCAGAAATTTGTTTGAAGAGAAATTCATTGTATTGCGTGGGCAGGATACTGTCAGGTTGCCCAGGCCTAGACAGGAGAACGATTAGGGTTCTCAACCAAAGCCTTTGGTTAAAAAACCTGACCGCAAGGCAGCGGGTTTGGCACTGGGCTACAAGGAGTCCGTTTTAAGGAAAAAGGAGCCACCCTCATTCCAACCCCCAACCTGGAGGACCAGGAGGCTGAGTTTGTCTGGCCTCTAACCATTGACCAATCTGGTATGAGTGGCTCTGAAGGTGTAAAAATGCACCACCCAGTATAGCTGAATGGATCATTGAGGCACACAAACCATCGCACCACGGTAAGGTCCAGCCTCATTGCGATGGCATTGGATAAATCGAAAAATATGATATCTGCTCCTTGTGATTCTGCCGTACACCAGGAATCGTAATATCCAATGGGGCTGTACCTCGCACCGACGAGGAATATGCCGTTGTATTTTATTCGCCACAACTTCATATTGCCCATGCAAGAGCATGGTACTACCTGTGCATAGTTGACCTGTGCCAAATATGAACGCAGCTTGTCACTTAAAGAGAAACATACCCATTATTTTTATACTAATTGCTACCATATTGGCTCATCGGTCCCACTGGTATGCCTGATCGTAGTTTATCCTGTGCTTCACTTGCTCCTCGGTTTCATCCAAGCCGTTTCCCAGCATCTTTGCAAAACATTGATGCTGTTATAATTGCGTAGATGCCTAATAAGATCGTCACTGGCACGATTGGAGCGCGCCTACGAGAACGGCTTGGAAGGCTGGCCAATCTAACGGATTTGCGCTGACGCGATGGCGTTAACTTAGCCTAGGGTACGCGCTGGTGAGCCGGGAATGGGGCGACTGTGAGGACGCTCCTAGCCGCACGTATTCGGATGGACGCTGAGCCCTCGTAACGGACGAGGGTACGCACGCGAGAGGGGGTTACGGTAGACGCGTGCTAGTGGCTTAGACGCGAACGCTGCCCGGCTATCGACGCACACCAAATCACGTGACCGACCGACTCTCAACTAAGGCGAAGAGGGAACAAGACAGGTGGTCCTCTGTAGGCTCTTTTACAACCGACAAAGGACGAATCACAGCCAATGCAATGGGTCATTGGATTAGGGAAAATTGCTTCCACGACGGGATGGTAATTTGTAAGAGAACATTGTCAACAGGTGCACTGTTGGGCCGCGCATCGGAGTGGCTGAACCTCGCTACGTTGGGGGGAGGAATTGGATCCCGATTTCCACAGCCATTATGCCGGAGCTTCTGGCGCGTTTTTGTGGGGATATTTGACTCGCTCGCAACAGATGCACACTGTGTTGTTCTTCCACTGAATCCCCATTTTCTCGAACCTTATCGATTTCTACGCTATCAACAAATCATCCTAGCGTTTCTTAGCCATCTCGTTATACTTTAATGTTACTTTGAGTGGTTTACTAAATTTTATGTGTGCTACTTAACTTGGTTGCTTTTTTCTTTCCACACAATTCTTCATGTAGACGGACGATAGTGGCCTTCCAACTCAAGAACACAGCATTTTGGATTGCGACAATGACTCAGCTCTCAGTGTCGACGTACTTCATCCGTGAGTGATTTTGTTTTTACACATATTTATTGTTTTGTTTCCCTGATCTTCCGAGTAAAATGAAGCTGAACTGGTGGGATTAAAACCCCTTCGAAGTCCGAAAAGATACTGAAAGGCTACCGTAATCATATCAAGAATGCTGGTTGCGGCGGTGTGGCTCGGTATTTATGCAGCATGGTCATGTGGTGTCGCTGTCATAAAAGCTGCTTTTTATTTTACACAGCTGCGCATTTCTGTGTGTAACCGTTTCAATACTACGTGCAGTATCAGTGTGTAGGCGATCTCATAAAATACGCATATTCATGGGTCCGTTTGGGTTGCCATGCATTTCACTTCAATCTGTTACCGAATCCCGGATCTTTTTCAATCATCTGGTGTCACCGATTGCCCCGGCATCACTCGTCTGATTACTGAATCTGCTCGAAATCGGAAACCTATACTCAACCCAAAACATTCCCACGTACAGTTGGTGGCATTTAGTGGTATTCGTATAAGTCAATCTTCTAACCTTATGCGTTTACTTTGTTATCGAGTTTGGGGGCATTTATTTTCGGAATTGCACCGATGCACGGTATTCCTGTCTATGACCAAATGCAGTGTCTGTTTCTTCCACGTCTGCTGCGCTAGCCGGTTGGATACAACTGTTTGTTTTAAGCAGACTTCTCGGTTAAAGACTATAAGTACCATTTGACGTCTCCTTTATTCTATCAATTATTGGGTGTTTTATTTCAACGAAACATTTATTACAGTTGTCACAGGTTCACAGTCAACTACTCAGCAGAAAAGTGATTGGCTTAAGTTATCACACGCACTATAGCACTGTCGGCCATTGGCATGATAGAGAAGAATGATAAAGTACAATGACCTGACAGGCGTGATGGCAAGCAAACTTTAAACGGACACCAGTATTGTGTAAAATTTAGAAGGGAAAGGCAACTGTCAGTACCTTCTGCGTCAGGACCTCTAAAATGGACTATGTATTTTGAAAGTAAATTGGTTATTCTCACGAGCAACTTCTGTTAGACGTTGCTCGTCACCCACAACCTAACTGGTGCTAACGGATCAAGAAATGGATTGGAAATTCAAAAGCTTTAACGAAGATTGTTGCCTTGTCAAATCTTTTCATTCCTAGTCCAATTCGAAGAGACTTTTTGGTTGTTTGCATTCACACAATTATTAACCAAAAATACTTCCTCATGGGTGCAGGATTCTCCGGCCTTCAGTCCAAATTCATAGTTCCAAACCAGCCTACTTGTTGCTGTTTTCCTAACAGGTACTGTGCTATCGCTACTATTACTCATGTTTCTTTGCCATTTTTTTACTTCATTCAATGATACGCACCACATCGCTGTCGGCAGGGTTTAACCAGCAGCACACATAATCTTCGGAACCGAGAAACAAATGCAGGCTATCAGACTATCAACTCTGCTCGATCTCTTGTGGATGTGGTTCAAGAGAAAAAAAAACAACTCGTGTACCATACCTGTTTTTGTTGCGTTTATTTCTAAATCCCATTCACACACTATCACTGTTTGAACGACCACTGAGTTAGATTTGGCGGCCAGTATCTGGTTTTAATTGGGATAGTGGAATTCGAATTTATGTATGATCATCTCAATGTATCCACATAGTTGATGCAGAATGCTCAAGAGTAAAACTCCTATATCAGTATGTCTAGACGGTAAGTTCACTGATACCCTCCATATGCTATATCAGTATTTGCTATCATTTTGGGGGTTCATCATTTGATTACTCTGATCCGACCTCATTTAAGGTACTAGGTTCAATTCGTATAAGTCATCGAAAACCCCCTTTGAAGCTCTCTGTGGTTCAACACCTCCTCCAACTTTAACTTGTAAGGGACCGTTATTGAATTTGAAAATCGCGCTGATGATACTTCTTAGACGTTTCATAAACAGCTGAGCCACTTAACCTATGTTTCTGAAGCCTGCATTATATGTTGGGGAGCCATCAGGCAAATTTTTACTCATCCAGTACGCCTTAGAATAACTCCGTTCGATGCTGCATACACAGTCATGCAATATATATATATATATATATATATATATATATATATATAATATATATATATATATATATATATATATATATATATATATATATATATATATATATTGTTAGGGTTAGAGCCAACCTAACCCGAGTAGAATCTAGTTTTTGGAAAACCGGAGCCAGACGGCGTCACGGAACTGTGTTCGAAACTTGTTACTGTGCCACAAAAAGTGAATAAGCCACATGTTCCGAATCGAGTGTACAACTGACTACAGGTGGGTATACACAGAGTTGGCATGTTTTCACCAAAACCCACGAATCTTGTGTTTGTTTTGTGTAACAGAACATTGTTCTTATTACCTGGCCCACCCAACGTACAACACTTGTAAAAAATCCACCTGCTATAAAATCACATATGTTTCGATTATGATACACAGCAGTGTTTGCGTTATTGGCAAATGCCTTGTGCGGTGTTGTGTTCAGCATGCTGATACACAATACTAACCAGTAGCGCGTGTTCTGACCATACCACGGTATGCCGGCTAAGAGTTGGTGGGAACCAACCAGAAGTTGTTCCTTCTGGTGCGACCATAACAACTGACGACGGAGTGTCTTGCCCAATTCACTGAAAGAGCCCACTGTATAACAGATGGCGGAAATATCTCCATATCAGTTGGGGTTCTATGAGAGTCAATTTCAAGAATTAATACGACAACAACTGGCACAAACCGAAGCGCACACGAAATTGATCGAAAAACTGCCACTGCTACTTAACGTGCAACCTGAGCAAACTCGCCCATGCTCCCACACGAATTCTGTTGATATTCTGTGCAAATCTATCAATGAATTTAATTACGCCCCAGATCTTGCTCTCACGTTTGATGCGCTTCAAACGATGGGAAGATTGGTTCTGCACAGACTTCAATTGTCACGACGACTCCTGGAAAGCACGTTTCCTCCTCCGAAAACTTGGAACGAACGAACACTCCAGGTTTCTAGATCACATCTTGCCGAAACAACCCAAAAACCTCACCTTTAATGAAATTATCCCAACTTTCTGAGATATTCGGTGAGTTGGCTTCATTATTTAGTGTTCGTTTACTATGCCTGCACATCGTTAAACACGATACTCATGACCATGACGCATTAGCCGACACTATCAACCGTAGATGGGAATGTTTTAAGCTGCGCTTACTGACGGATAATCAGTTTAAATGCCTTATATATATACGAGCTTTGCAGTCCCCTGAAGACGCGGAAATTCGCATACACCCACTTTCTAAGCTCGATCAACATCTGGACATGACCCTCAACTCTCTTGCAGCTGAGTGTAAACGCATGTTAACCTTAGAACATGACACCGCCCACATTGTGCAGAATTCACAAATGCCATCAAGCGCAGTTCATGCTGTGGAGAACGAAATGAGAAAAACGGCGACTAAACGCCTAAGACAAACGCCTAATAAGCCCCCTACTCCATGCTGGTCATGCGGAGAATGGCACTTCGCACCTTTTTGCCCTTTCAAAAGACACGTTTGCCAAAACTATCATAAAATGGGCTACAAAGAGGAATTTTTCATCCGGCGTCGACCACAAACCAGCAAGCGACAGTCTTCCATCCATAAGAACCGTAAAATGTCCATCGCCAAATCGCTACCCGTTCAGGTTGCCTTCCAGACTGATTTTGTGTTTGGTAGAAAGTTTATTACGGTGCTCATGAACGGCACATCAACTCGTTTACAACTTGCTACTGCCTCCGACATTACCATCATCTCCAAAAGTACCTGGTACCATATAAAGAAACCGAAGTTGATCGCGACTACTAAAGTAGCTCATAATGCTTCTGGAGGTGTCCTTAATCTTGTCGCACAATTTACTTGTAAAATCTCATTTAACGGTGTTCATAAGACGGGAATTTTTTATCTAACCGACCGACCTACACGAATTGCTGAGTATTGATTGGATTGAGAAATTAGGACTACTTGACATCCCGCTAAACACGATATGCAAACAACTTCAAATGCATACAGTCACTCCAAAGGAACCTATACAGATGACACAGGCTCTAAAGTGTAAGTTTTCCACCGTGTTTCAAGATTGCCTTGGTCACTGCACAAAATTCAAGGCATCATTAACGTTACTTCCGTCCAGAAGCAACACCTGTTTTTAGACCCAAGCGTCCTGTACCTTATGCTGCTATTCAACCACTTGAGCAAGAACTTGACCGCTTACAGCAGGCTGGTATCATCACTCCCGTAAACTATTCAACATGGGCAGCACCCATTGTCGTCGTAAAAAAAACCAAACAACCAATTACGCATCTGCGCTGATTTTTCTACTGGCCTCAACGCCGCTCTTGACAACCATCAATATCCACTTCCAGTGCCAGAGGATATTTTTGCCAAATTAAACGGGGGGCACGTGTTTCGCTAAGCTAGATCTGTCTGGCACCTATCTCTAGGTGGATATAGGGGAGGATTCTCGGGAGCTACTTACGATAAACACTCATCGTCTGTTATTCCAGTGTAATCGTTTACCTTTCGGCGTAAAATCCGCCCCATCCATTTTCCAACAGTTAATGTGCACCTTGCTTGCGGGAATCTCCGGAGCAGCGGCTTATCTGGATGATATAATTGTTATGGGGCAGACTAGGACCGATCTATTTAACACACTGGATAAAGTGCTTACCTGAATACAGGAATATGGTTTCTGTCTACACGAGGACAAGTGTGATTTCTTTTTAACTTCAATCAAATTCCTAGGCTTTATCCTCGATAAGGATGGTCGACGCCCGGATCCGGAAAATATAAAAGCGATCCAGAACATGCCTCCACCGTCGGATCTGTCCTCCCTCCGTTCGTTCTTTGGACTTGTCAGCCATTATAGCTTATTTTTGCCAGAGATGCATCGCGTACGTGCACCACTGAATCAACTACTGACCAAAAGTTCTACGTGGAATTGGTCGCCTCAATGTGAAGTTGCTTTTA